TAAATATTTTCTACATAAATGGAAGACGGAACACTTAGCTCTAGAATGGTTTAGAAGATCTTTTCTATGCTCTGGCTTGAATAGTCTACATTTTATGCAGTTTGTTGTCATATATTCATTAGGAACTGCATATTTAGCGGCTCTCACGCCAAAGTATCAGGGTGTCTATCACTCATTTGCTAATTATATTTAGTTTCGATTTGGCTTCTTGAAAAATTTACAGAAATAGTTTATTCGATGAAGACATTCATTTTTGCCAAATTTCATGTGTGTTGCATCCACCCCCACCCCCCCACCCCCCCTTTCTTTTTTGAATGGAGATGGATTATTTTATCTTCTTTGAATACCTAAGCTGAGCTGCCTTGAGTTTCTCTTTATTATCTTGATTGGAGGTTAAATCTATCACTTGCATAAATTTTAGATATTTCTTGCATTTTGCTGTCGCTCATGCTAGCAGGTGACGAAATCATAGAAACCAGAACTGACTTTTTCATAGTGTGGAACCTCGGAAATTTGGACGATTACAGAGTAAAACAGGGATATGTCATTTAGCCAGAAGGTCCTCTACTTAACGACTTTGCAAAGATGCTTGCGGTCTCCATGGTTAACCCAAACTTATTCTTTCTCAGACATTGTTCACAAGAAAACAAAGCTTGCTCCTCTACAGGTTCTTCATGCTTCCACTTCTCTCCCTCTACAAGTACTGCTTTAGATATACATACTCTTATATCCCAGTATCCATTTGTCCGTTTATACAAGTTTCCTTACAGGAAAGGAGAATGATAGATCGCTTTCGCATATGGGCCAAAGGAGGTGATGGTGGCAGCGGTTGTACCAGTATTCGTCGTAGTCGACATGATCGCCGTGGCACACCTGACGGTATGTTCTCTAATCAGTTCATACCTCATGGGTGGTGGGGAGACAATATGTAACTAGTTGACTGCCATCTTCCATCTTTGCATCATTTTCTTTCCCCTAATTGAAGTTTTATGTCCAATTTTATTATCATTCATCTCTTGCATGCTCTTTTTCTCCTTCAATTTTTCTCCGTTAAAACATTGCTTGGCTGTGCATTTCGTCCCTTGGTTCTTCATAAGATCTTTGGTTTAACTATTATCTTTTACTTGACATGTTTGAAATACACAAGACATACTCACCGACTGAATTAACAATTAAGATACTATCAACGAAATCAAGACACTCACTAAATTAATGGTAAATGATAAAAGTTAGACATCCAATACGTCAGATATCTAACCTGAATTTAAGATATCAACTATTTACCAGTAAAGTTTGAACCAAAAACCAACCATTCCTGCGGCTTTAGTCCCAAGACTAATTACTTCATCCGTTGGTCGGATGCCTGAAGTACTTTTTTGTAGCAAAAATTCAATAAACAAAGAAAACCAATTATTTGTATAGTTAGAATTCTCCACATCCCCAAATATAGAAAGAAAAATAAAGAGAAACTCTTACACCATAATTGAAAAATTAGCTGTGCTTTGTTTACTTGCCTTGAGATTGGGATGTTAACCTGACAGATGTAGAAGAGTAATTTAGTCTAATCTGCTTTATGCAAGATGCTATAGTTAAAACTTTTATGAGGCCGGGGATTGAGAAAACTGAAGGATGGGTTTATAATGAGCTGAAAATTGCAACTTTGAGTCTTAGTGGAGAATCTTATGATTCGGGGTAATTTGGTATGCAACTGAAACCCCTCTAAAATTCTAGTCATTCAGGGAGGTGGAAATTGCAACTTTCTGTGTCATCGTTTGAAGCGCACACTTCTTTCGAGCACATGATTGAGTCGCTTGTTCATAATTTCACTTCACTTCTGCCATCCTCCATCTCTGTGCGTTCCCCTTGGACTTCACTCCTGAAACAATTACCCTCATGTCGCATCGCTTCATTGATGTAAGCCATGACTTATAATAACACTGGCTTAAAGAATGACTTTTCAATGTTGACCTCCTAGTTAAGTTGCTCCACCTTTTTTTCCAGTAAATTTTCCCAAAAGGTTTATTTGCGCATTATCTTCCAAGTCTATCCTTTGTTGTTTCTTATTTTCTTTTAATTTTCTTCGTACAACACCTTTTGTAAGTAACTCATTTAAGATATGCAAACAAGCTTGATTTGCTATAGTGACCACTTGTAGGATTTTCTCTCTTCTTACCTCATTTTTGTACTGGATGCAGGTGGGAATGGTGGAAGGGGTGGTGACGTGATATTAGAATGTTCCCCTGCAGTCTGGGATTTGAGTGGTCTGCAGCATCACACAGTGTGTTTTCTTTCCTACTGCATGATGTCTGTCGCACACTTAACTTCTTTATTAATTGGATTGTCCCTGTCATTTGATTGATATATGTGTGGCATTTTGCATCCTAGTTACCTAATTGTTTGTGACATGTTTCAGAATGCAAAGAGAGGCGGAAATGGGTCTTCCAAAAATATGATAGGAAGTAGAGGAGCTGACAAGGTTAACTTTTGTCTCTCTCTTCATCTTCAGTCTTTGGCTCCATTTTCGTTTTTTAATCAAACTTAAATTAAGGACGGCTTGCTTGTGTGGTAGGTGATCCAAGTTCCTGTAGGTACTGTAATTCATCTAGTAGAGGGCGAACTTCCATCTGCAGTTGAGAAGAGTTCAAGTTCTGAGTTGGACCCTTGGGAGCTTCCAGGTACAGTTGATATTGATTCGTCAGAGTTTTCTACACAATCAGTTTCGGCGTACCAAACAAGTTCAAAGGTTGAGAAGAGAGCCAAATCAAGTGGACGTCGAGCTTCTGGTGGTGAAGAATCCACTACAGCAAAGAGAAGAAATTGTGCTTTGCCAATCAATTCTCGCACGAAACATTCACTTTCTAGAGGCAAATTCGAAAGTGATGATGATGATTTGAGCAATTGGGAGGAAGAAAGCTGTGGACAAATGGAAGATCAAGATGGTGATGATGCTATGGGAGCAGAATGTGAAGATGAGTTGGAAGAAACTGAACATATAGAATATGATGTGGCAGAGTTAACAGAACAAGGCCAACGAATAGTTGTTGCTCGTGGAGGGGAGGGTGGCTTAGGAAATCTGTCTAAGGGGAAAGCATCAAAGATGATGCAAAAGGGAGCCAGTTCTGATGATGAAGTATCTGATGATTATGATCATGCATCACTAAGTGCTGGCTTGCCTGGCTCTGAGGCGGTCCTTGTGCTAGAACTAAAGAGCATTGCTGATATAGGTCTTATTGGGATGCCAAATGCCGGCAAAAGTACCCTCCTTGGAGCATTATCAAAGGCTAAACCTACTGTAGGTGATTATGCGTTCACAACGTTGAGGCCGAACTTAGGCAACTTAAATTATTACGATTTTTCTTTAACTGTAGCTGACATCCCGGGACTCATAAGAGGAGCCCATGAAAATCGTGGGCTTGGGCATGCTTTCCTTCGGCACATAGAACGAACAAAAGTTCTAGCATACGTGGTAGACTTGGCTGCAGGATTGGGCGATAACAAGGGAATACCACCATGGGAGCAGCTAAATGACTTGGTTTTGGAACTCGAGTACTATCGAGAGGGTTTGACCGATCGACCATCCTTAGTGGTGGCTAACAAAATCGACGAAGATGGGGCTGAAGAGGTCTATAAAGAGCTGAAACACAGGGTGTCTGGTGTGCCCATTTTCCCAATTAGTGCAGTCCTAGAGGAAGGAGTACCAGAACTGAAAGATGGTCTAAGGATGCTTATCAGTGGTGAACAATCAAACAGACTACAACTAAATGGTGTAGTTCTTCCTTTTGTGAGCATCTAAGCTACATCATTAGGATATCTGCTTCAGTATACTTTCCCTTGAAAATGTAATACCTTTGTTTTACCACAATGCCATAGCAATTTTCTGCGGAGGAGGTAATTTTCTTCCTGATTTGGAATTATGTTGCGTATTTTTGATTAGCACGTTATGAATAAACAATTATTAGTTTCATTTTCAGATTTCTCAAGGGAGTTGAATCTATCGAAAGACGGTTTCTTATAGGTAAGCAATGGAGTCATACTTATTAACGTTCAAATTATATAGTTGAAACTTTCGAAAGGTGGTTTCTTATGGTAAGCAATAACACTTCATAACGTTTAAATTATATGTAAATAACTTAATATTATAGTCCATGTCATGTAGCCAATCAGATTAGCAAATTGTAGTTGTGGTAGTAAGAAATAGTGATATGCTTCTTCTTTCGTAAAAGATATGTATTCTCCAAAAGCAAAAGGGAATTGATGATTGATGAAATACCATCTTGAATGGCTGAAAATAGAAGTATAAAAAGGAAATCTATTATGGGTATCTCATAGTCATCTCAAGAGTCTTTTACCCCTCTTTTTAATGCGTACTATTTTGTGTTCAAGCTCTTGTAAGTATTTTTGTTATTGGATTGAAGCGATAAATAGCTGAAGTAGTAAGGTCACTTTGTTATATTTTTTAAGTATTTGATCGTAATAACAATCACTGAGTAATTATGTCAAATTAATAATTCGTTTAGGTTTCTGTAATCGTTAAAATCTAGAAACTCTTTGTTAAGTTCCTACTACTATCAAATGAGATGATATTGAAGAATATAACAAACGTCTTTCCCTCTGGTTGTTTTTTGCGTAAATTTCAAGATTCTAAAAACTCTAAAACGCAATACTTTGGAATATGATTGAGACAGAAAATTGATATGTTCTTGTCGATGCCTTTGAGCAATTAATCAATCGAATAAAATAATTGGTCTATCCTATTCAAACACAAATAACATCAGATAAAAATATGTTAAAGTCACTTTGGAGAAGTTTCCCAAAAAAAGATACCAATCGGATAATGTTTTTAATAGGTTAGAGCGAAAAAAGTCTATAAATCCTAGATTATGTCGNCCCAAAAAAAGATACCAATTGGATAATGTTTTTAATATGTTAGAGGGAGAAAAGTCTATAAATCCTAGATTATGTCGTTGTTGAGAGTTGAAAATTTCACCTTAAAAAGATAATCCGAATTCCTATAAATCCTTATAATTTTAGTTAAAATAACTAAAATGCTCTTCAACATTAGCGGTATTTAACGAACATAAAAGAACATATAAGGGTACCTAACTGAATCCCAAACATTACTATGTTGAAAGTCATATTTATTCCTAAACGTAGCTAAAGGACTAATTAATAGTTATTGCATCCAAAATTAATTAAGGGATGCACGTTTACTTTATCCTTTACATAATTTAATCAATACCTTAGAAATGTCAACTATTGTAGGATGATCAATTCTCATTTCCTTAATTAAGATTAAGACTAAAAAAATAAAATAAACTCAATGGCAACTAGCTTCATGCCTTTCTCCTCTAAAGAGATATTTCAGACATTATTAAACACTTATTTACAAATTCTACCATGATTTTGTCAACTTGTCACGCAAACAATTACCTATTTTGTCCTCCTTTTCCCTCTATAAAAAAACCCCACCTATGATTCACTTTTCAACACAACTACACCAAGAACTTGCTTTAGTGATTAAACTTTCTTTTTCAACAAATCTCCCAACAACAAATTAAGAAAACATGTCTTGCAGCGGAGGAAACTGTGGCTGTGGATCTGGCTGCAAATGCGGCAGTGGCGGAGGGTAAGTGTTTTGAATATAGATTTTGTGTCAATATATGCAAATACTAAAGTTCATCTGCAAATACTGATTTACTTCTCAGTATCTAAACTTTAATATTTGAAATCTCGTACGTATAATTAATATACTTGATTAAAGTTATAGTAAAAGCAAATTGTGACTTATGTTTTTATGATATTGTAGATGTGGGATGTACCCAGACTTGGAGAAGTCCACTACCTTTATTACCATCATTGAGGGTGTTGCTCCCATGAACAAGTACGTCTAATTTTATATTTCCTTTCTCTCTATCCTTTTTGGTTTAGATATATTAGTAGTTTGCGGTGAAAATAAGGTCGAAAAAGTTATTAAAATTTGAAATTAGGAGGATTTACCTTATAATTTAACATGTTATTGTAGATTGCTTGACTCAATGCTATTGATTTTATTTATCTGCATCTTCTTTAAGGCCCCGTTTGTCCATAAATAAAAAATGTTTATGTCCATGAAATTTTGCTAGTTTTTGAAAAAATTTCGAAAATGAGTTTTTCAAAATCAAAATTTTCAGAATTTTTTTTCCCCACTCACAAAATTATAATATTTTTTCAAGTGAAATACATATCCAAACATAATTTTAAATTCTAAATATAATTTTTCAATTTAACTCCAAATACTACTTTTTTCAAAAATTACAATGTTTATGTCCAAACACCTACAAAGTTATCTGCTTAGCAGAGCCACAATATCAACTTGATGACATTTGGATTTTAGAATGATGATTTCAAATATTAATACCTTTTAATATGTGTATATATTTAATAAATTTCTTGACACAAATACATTATTTGAGCCATAGGCGGATCTAGGATTTTCAGTACATGGGAATAAGGAGGAATAAATGTATTAATCAGGAATTGATCCTTCTTCCTCTTGGTAAATAACTCAACCTTTAGCCAAGTGTACCATTCAACCTTCTTGGAGCATGAGTGTCAACAGTTAATATTATACTAATTTTAGAAAATATCTAATTTTGATGAGAAACCATGGTTCACTAGCTTGCCCCATAATCTCTCCTATAAATGCACCCATGGTTTGAACAAAAACTATTAGGTTAGACCAAACTTGTGGCTTCTACCGTCTGTCCCTGTTGCTTAGTGTATAGAATTAATTAAATTAAACTCAGACTACAATACTAAAAAAGATTACTTGAAATATATATTGCAGCTTTGTGGAATCAGGAGAGAAAGCAGCAGAAGGAGGAAATGGGTGCAAGTGTGGATCAAACTGCACCTGTGACCCTTGCAATTGTTAAGATAATCCCACTCCAAAAACTGCATTGTGTCTCTGTATTAAATGTGTTTTCTAAAAGTTATTGTAATTAATAACAATAAAACTACAACCATGGAACAGATCATGATCAGTTCTTAGGTTTGTGTGTTGCTGCTGTGACGTGGCTTTTCTGTTTGTTGTCAATATACTATATAAGTTTGTTTGTGTCTTTATTAATTGCCTGTGAAGTCTCTTACTCTATTTCTTTCGCACCTTAATTTATATATTTTCCATCTGCTCATTAAATTTTTATACTTGGTTATATATTAAAACTAAGTGCTATATTGGACGCGAAAATTAATTTGCTTTAGTCTCTCTGCTATACCGGCCATGGATGATTGTACTTTTGGTTCATCAATCATCTAAACACGATACATTTAACTATTCATTTGTGGAATTTGCAAATAAATAACGACTCATGTTCCCGTGCTGTCTTTTCTAGAGGGGATTTGTCTATCTCATACTTTTCTAAAGGGTAAAGGTTAAAAAAATACACAAAGGATAACGGATAAAAAATACCCCTAAATTATGCGAAATAGAACAATTTTATCATCAATTAAAATAGTGTCTCGTTTCTACCCATGACCATTTGCCTTTATGGAAAACGACAGCAGCTAAAGGGTAAATTTAGACCATGAACTCTCGCGGTAGCTTTATGCATCCTTTTATATGTAACTACGTATTATTAGGTTGAGATCAGATGTTTGTCTACTAATTTTGTTTTGCACAACCTATAGAATAATCTATCTAATAGTATTATTTTATACCAAATCGATAACGTAAAATAAGAACATTTACCTTAGTAATACAAATGTCCGAAAAAATTACCGTTTAAATTAATTTAGTCATCTTACCCTTAAATTAAGGCTCCTTACTTTAATTACTTAAAGTATTTTTTTTT